CAGCACAGGTGTAGTAATTCAGAAAAATAATAAATTCCAGGCATTGACAGGTGGAGAGGATGCATATTTCGTTGCTGGCCAAACGTGGTTTGGTGTAGCTGATGGAGTGAGTCAGTGGTCACTCGAAGGTATTGCCTGCTCGAATTCCTTCACAATCTGGACATGATAAAAACTATTGTTATCGACTTCTGTTTAGGGACTAATCCTGGAGTTTATGCACGAGAACTCGTCAAAAATTGTGAAAAGACAGTCTCTGATTGCAATGGAATCTCCATAAACAACCCTTTGGAACTGCTTAATCACAGTGTAGCTGAAACACACTCTCCTGGGTCGTCAACAGTTTTGATTGCTCAATTTGATGGCCAGGTATAATTTATTGTGCAGATGTCTATATTATTATTTACCATGGTAATTGGCTTTATATATTTTTTATTCTATTTTTTACTTTTATATGAATAGAAGCGCACATAAAAATCAAGTGTTGGTAACTAAAAATATTCCTTCCTTTGTTCAAATTAGCATTTGATATTTTTTGTTATAGAGAATTAGTGGAACGCAAAAATTCAACTTGCTCTTTGTGATACTTATCTGGATATTTAATTTCTGACAGGCTCTTAATGTGGCTAATATTGGGAACTCTGGATTTATTGTCCTACGAAAAGGTTCTGTTTGGAAAAGATCTTCTCCTATGCAACGTGCGTTTTGTTTTCCTCTGCGTATTGAGAAAGGTGATGACCCGACTTCTCTTGCAGAGGTTCGTATGCTCTCTAATAAACGTTTTAATACACAAATAGATAGAAGTTGTTTAAGTGACCTAAATATAGTGTGAATCGACTTCCTCTTCCTTTCTTTTTTCTCTTTTCTTTTCTTTTTTTGCTGCAGACTTATAGAGTTGATTTAGAGGAGGGTGACTTGATTATTACTGCAACTGATGGATTACTCGACAATTTATACGATGAAGAGATCTCATCAATAGTCATGCAGTCACTCGCTGATGATATAAAGCTTGAGGTACTATGTTTTTTTTTTTTTTGCCATTGTGCAAGCTTAAGATTTACTACAAAAAATGCCCTTAAAGATTCGGCCTACTCTCGGACAGGAGCTTTTAATTCTAAGGAATAAAAAAAAAAATTATGATCTCTAATATCCTAGAAATTCCTCTTTCATAATTTCTGGACAACTACAACAACAACAATATACCCAGTATATTCCCAACAAGTTGGGGTCTGGGGGGTCAGTTGTACGCAGACCTTACCCTTGTAATTATACAAGGAGGCTGTTTCCGTAGCGACCCAAGGTGCATTGCGCCGTTTGATATTTTTTTTTTTCTAGAAACTTCACTAATAGAAGAAGCACTAGAATTTAATTGAGCCATTTTGATTTAGTCCATTATTAGCACTATGCCAGGAGAATTGTCAACAATGACTCTTCCAGCTCCATTTGCAATAGACAAAATAATTTCTGGACAACTGATTTATAATAAAAGTGTTTTGATAAGAATAAATAATAAAAAGTGAGGTGCATGAATAGTGTATATTTTTATATGTTGTTTGCAGTAGCAATATAATTTCTACAAATTAACTCGTAAAACATACCACACATATGTTATGAAATTTCAATGCAAATTATTCTGTGAAGGTACTTTTTTTTTTTTTTTTTNACATTATTACACATAAAATCAACGTGAAGGCCTCTTTTACTTACCAGGATAGGATGGGATAACATTCCTTAACCAAGCTTATCAAAAATGACCTTTTTGTCAAAAAAAATCACATGTATAATGTCCATTATACCCTTGAATGTCCAAATAATTACAGATTTAGTAAAGCTGACTCATGGGAATAAACCATCCTATCCCGTCCTGTGATATATATCGTGCGTGTGCATGAGTGTCTGCGTGTGTATTTATATAGATACGAGTTTTCTAATGATGGCTCATAATCTCTTCAGGAAATTGCGAAACTACTAGCGAAAAAGGCACAAGAGATAGGTGAGTCGAAATGTACGAGAAGTCCATTTGCCGATGATGCTCACGCAGCCGGATTTTCGGAATACATTGGCGGGAGGCTCGATGACGTGGCAGTCATTGTATCTTTAGTCCAAAGACCATCATAATTTTGCAGGCAAACTTTGTTCCTCCAGGGCCTATCTCATCATAATTCAAATAAGTCATTTGTACAGCTGTGTGCATGGTTTGTGAATCTTTTCAGGTTACTCTAATTGTAAAATCAAAGACTGAAAGGAGGCAGATTGTGAATCATGGGTTGGTGGGGCCTCTGACTGCCATGCTTTAAACAATGTTGTCTCCATCAAAATGGTTGGTGTGTTAATGGCTGTTTGCTCACTTTGTTGAATCATAACACTCACAATTTGGAATCCTATACTCCACCACAATGGGGGAATCATCATCATGTCATGCATGCCCTCTTTGAGTGACCCAACATNTTTTTTTATTTTTTTTGGGAAATGGCATTATCTTTCATATGTGAACGATTAATATAATATCATTGTGTAAAAAGGTAATTTAGTTCATCTTGTTATAATCAACTACATATTTTGTCCTTTTCTTTTTAAGAAAAATATTTACTCTCTTCGTCAAATCATTATTTTTGTTCCTAAAATACATCTCTGTGTAAATGTAGATGTTTTTCATTGCTTAGTGCCATCCTTCAGATCCTTATATGTAAATAGGTCATGCTTCAAAATGCGTTAGGATATCCATGTATTCAAACTTAGGTTATCATATTCATGTACATTAATTAGGACTTTAAAAATTCAAATATTTATAAAATTATTTTAAAAAAATTAATAATTTTTATTTATTTATTTTATGATGATCAAACAATCATCTTTTCAATTTGACATTTACATATACAATAGAAAAAAAAAAAATCAACATTTATAACTAAAAGAATTTTTTCATGAATAACTAGAAAATAACAAAATCTCAATTAGCATCGATATAAATTTAACTATCATATGGTATGAGTGAAAAAAATATTATCGCTTGACACACAGTATGTAACACATGATTGTTTACAATATATGATTGGTAAATTATAATAGTACGTTTTCAATGAAACTAGTGATGCATGAACATTTTTGGAGAAAATTTTGAATCCAAATTAGATGTATAAACTAAAAATAATAATTGTATTTACCTAAACTTTAAGTGTATCAAATAATATTGATTGGAAAATAACAGAATTTATCTATCGTTATTGGTTGAAAAATAATTTTATCTATAAATTATGATAGGGTGATTGATTTGAGTTGCAATGTTATTAGGCTTGAGTTATAAAAATTAATAAAGGTTGACAAAATCATGTATTACACGATTTTTAGACTAGCGATCCCATGTAACCATTGAATTTTATTATATAAAATAAATATCGCAAATAAAAATTTAAAAATTTAAAATAATTAAAACATTCATGTAAAACATTAAATTTTTTTATACATTTAATTTTATTATTCCGTATATTACTTGAGGTTGTTGCACTAAATTATTAATCTAGAAAAAAAAAAAGAAGAAGAAGAAGAAAGGTTAATCCTCCTGTGGAGGATAATGATGCCATGTTTTTCTTTTGTGGTTTACGTGCGTTTCTAAGTTAAAAATTGAAATCATCATATAATGTTTAACATACCTAAAGTCAACGGTATATGAAACATAATCGGGTAGCAAATATTATAATATTCATTTATGAGTTATCCTACATTGTTTATATAGAAAAAATAGACCTAATTTATAAGATTAATGGACCACTCCTCTTTCCACCAATTGATTTTGGGATGGAACCCCACTTGTGCTTTATTTGGGCTTTCCCTGCTTATAGTGTCGTTTTACTCCCGTCTTACATGGTATCAGAGTCGGTTCTATATGAGACCGTGTGATGACGTACCTGTTATTCCCCATTTACCCATTTATGGGAGCCTGTTTCTAGTAGAGCTTGGGGCACCCGACTCTGTATATGGGCTTGTGCTTTCTTATTAAGGACTCACAAGTGAGGGACTTATTAGAATATTCACTTGTGAGTTGTCCCACATTGTTTATATAGGAAAAATAGTCTTAATTTATAAAACTAATGAGCTACTTCTCATTCCACCAATTGGTTTTGGGAGGGAACCCCACTTGGGCTTTATCTGGACTTTCCCTGCTTATGGTGTGCTTCATTTGCATGGGACCGCACCTGTTTTACCCCCGTCTTACAACAAACTAGAGTACACAAAGTGTGTTCGACACCAAAATTAAAATGTTAAAGCAAACAAAGTTAAAAATCTCTTCGCGAACGTCGCAATACCCCTCAGAGCCCTTTCATTAATAGTTCGGTTTGCATGCACAAGAATACAACATGGAATTATGAGACTCCTACTTCTTAGTCTAGTCAACATTATATCTGACCCTATTAACTACTCCTCTAGCCACACACACGTGGACTTCACAATAGCTTTGCATCTCTCTCAGCTATACAATTACTTAATCCATAAGAACAATAAATGTTTGTAAAAGAGAAAATAAACTCAGTTATTCAGTGGTGTAAGAACACTGAAAAATTGAATCGAATAAAACTAAAAAACTAAAAGCTCACAAATACTCAATGAAGTCTAAGAATATGATGACCTCCGGTTGTTGCAACAACCTTCAATTTAGTCTTTGTATAGACTTATATACACCCTCCTCAAAGTACGAATGTTCAAATCATCCTTGCCTTTTGGAGCCGATTTCTTTCATTTTTATTTCCTCAAGACATGGTCGAGATATTCCCAACTGAAGCCAATATCTTCATATGTGATCTCCTTCATCCAACTTCTTCTTCTCCTTTTATGCACGATCTCTCTACAAATAAACAAAATAAAAAGTAGGTAATAATGGCTACATAAAGTCTGTTAGATCCTAATATATATATAGACATGGCCAAAACCCCAAGCATTAATATAGATAAATAAGGTCATTTAGGTAGAGACATAATTATTTTTACTTGTATGGTAAAGTTCCAGTTAATTTAAAATTATGTAGCAGACATAAAAATTTCTCAAAATTATATATAAACAGTCATAAAGCTTAATTTTTTATGTGTTTCTATAATTTTAGTTAAGTGTCATTTAAAAAAGAGTGAAATTATAATTTCCTAATTATTAATGTATGTTAAATATGTCATTATATACAAAAACGAAAGTAATTCTATCACATTTCTATAAATTATAATAAATTTTAGTAACAAGAGAATAAAATAAGTAACTGTATATTACATAGTTAAAAAAAGTAAAAAAAATATAATTTCTATAAAAAATAAATATAATCATTAAAAGTTTATTTTATTAACATACAGGATTTACCGGACTAACTGATAAACCAATGAGCTAATAAACCTAACAAGCTCCGACAAAAAAAAAAAATTGATTTAAACGGGCCGAAAAAATAAACACATAATTACAACCGGTTCACTAGCCGAATAAGGGAGTCCTATCACTACAGGTAACCTAGAACACAACACACAACAATAAAAATTATACGAGTGGATGAATATTAAGTTTTTTAAAAAGTTTTATAATAATAATTAATTAATATTATTAAAATATTAAGTTAAATTAAATTTAAACTAAAAATTTATATTCAATCTTAGTACTGAGTTAAAAATAAAAAATAAAAAAAATTGTATCCTTACATAAAATTGTTCTTTGAAGGAGAGGAATCCGTGGTTTTTCTTGCCCCTTTTGTTGCTTAGCTGTGCCCAAATCTCCAAGTGGGCCAAAAAAACCCTAAACCCACCGAAGCTATCATCAGAGGTCGACACCTCATTCACATTACTCACCTCCACGCGTCCCTCAATCCCATATTTTTGTTTCCCATTTTACCCCTCAAAACCTCCTTCTTTTCCCATCACTGCCATCCCCCCACTTCCCTTTTTTTATACCCACACACGCCCCAATTCTCCCATTCACACTCACCATATTTTATTCGCACACTCCATTGTTCCTCTCTCTCTCTCACTCTCGCCGTTACAAAAAAGGAAAAGCAGAAAAAAATGGCTGTCAGATTTCCCGTCATCTGCGTCCTCCTCACCCTGTCGGCCGCGGCCGGCGTTTCTGCGGCGCCCTCGGCGCCTGCGCCGGCGGTGGACTGCTCGAGCCTGGTGCTGAGCATGGCGGACTGTCTGTCGTACGTGACGGCGGGAGGAACGGCGACGAAGCCGGAGGGGACGTGCTGCTCGGGTCTGAAGACGGTGCTGAAGACGGACGCGCAGTGCCTGTGTGAGACCTTCCGCAACAGCGCCCAGCTCGGAGTCACCCTCAACATGACCAAGGCCTTGGCCCTTCCCGCCGCCTGCCACGTGTCCGCTCCTGCTGCTAGCAACTGTGCCGGTCAGCTCTTTTTCCCCTTTCTTTAGTTTTTTCTTTTTTTTTTTCAATTGAGCATGTGGATCGATTATTGTGAGCTTGATTTAAGCTAACTTCCATTTTAAATAGAAATGCACAGAATTAGGATGAAAAATTGGATAAAAATCTTGAAAATTATTAGGGTATGTAATGTAAGAATTTGATGTGTCAATATTTACCACTTTGGATTTAGCTCTTTCTCAAATTTCTGCAAAAAAAAATAAAAAATAAAAAAAAATGATGAGTTTGATGGGGATTTTTCTAAGTTTATCCAAGTAAAAATTGATTTGGTCTTTCATTATCTTCTCCTCTCTAGGCCTCAATTAGTTTTTTTTATTCCGGCTAGTTGGTTTCCTTGTTTTTCGGCTTAGAAATTATGGGTTTATTTATTTACTTATGTTTGGCTTTTGAGTCTTGATGCAGTTATTTTGTATATATTGAAAATAACATCTGTTTTTCCTTTTTCTTGCAACAGTGAGCACTGCCATTGGTGCTGCCCCAGGTACTCCAATCCGACCTTCTTTATCCTTAATTCATCCACATTGCATGTTTGTGTCTCAATGATAATTTGAATTTCCAACAAATTATTTCACTATCTCAACTGTATAAATAGATTAAACAGTAGTAGGAAAAAATTTCATTTTGCCTCCTCATTTTTTGTCCCTTTAATTTATACGAAATTTAATTTATTAGGAATTATAATGTGGGTTCGTAAAACAAATTTACAGCCGGTCTAGGGATAGATTCCTGCCTGGTACCAGGTCGTCCGGGTTTGTTTTTATCTCCTCCTTTTCCTCTTTTGTGTAATGAAATTGAGGGCAATTTTATTTACTCTGTAAATTTCATCGTTTTGGGGTTTGAATCATTGAATGCTTTTCTCTCTTTGTGTATGTGTGTGTCATTATTGCCTTTCTACTAAATAATAATTAAAAAAAAGCTGGGGAGAGATAGGCGATGGCCCACTCCTATGATAGCATTTGACGGTGGATATCATCCCAATGGAATGGGGACCACCATTCTTATTCAAATCCAACGGCCCAGGATGGCCCTAATTTACATTACTAATTTAGCCCAATTCTTTTTTTTTTTTTTATCTTGAATGTCTATCATTTTACTTTGTGTGTGTGTGTGTGTGTGGGGAAGTCAAAGAAACGCCAAAAGCATTTTTTTTTTAAGCTAGTTTATTTAATTTAATTTTATGTGATTCATATGAATAGTTATTATAATGTGTCCTAATGCTTACAACCTTAATCATCATATAATAGGCCTACACAGGTTATAATAACATTTTGTCCCTTTTTTCAGCTCAATCTCCGGTGGCAGCCATGTCACCAAGTGCTGTGGCAGGGGCCCCGACAGCTGGCATAGGCACTACAGAGGGCGGTGCACCAGCTATAGCGCCAGCCTCCGGCAACTCTGCCTCGTCTGCTTTGACAGTTTCAATCGAGATGCTTGTTTTTGGTACACTGGCTGCTCTGTTTTATGGTATATTTTGAGACTTCGTGTGCTGTGGATCGATTTTTTTTTTTTGTCTTGAGATCAGAGTTCGTTTCGGGGATTCGATGCTCGATTTAGGTTTCTGTGTTTACTTTTCACTAGTAGTATTTGATAGGGTATTTTGAAATGGTGTGGGTACATCTTGTTTATCATTTATTTTAGTATGGGGAGTTTTTATTGTGCCTGACTTTGTTATGGATGTTCTGATGATATGCTTTCTTTTGTTAAATTTATTTATATTTATATTTAGTTACTTTTCTCCTAAAGTGTGATGGTTGGTACTCGTTTTCTATGTTATGTCCAATTTTTTGGGGGGCAACATATTGTGATTCAGGTCAAGCAGGGGAAATTTTTTTTTGACTTGCTTTCCAAGTTGGTTCTCTTTTAATTATTCCACGTAAATGTTGTTAGAAAATCAATAGGGTTTGACTCGGTTTTGATTGAATTTTTTATGGGCAATTATGGATTAAATTGTGTCTGAAAAATTTTGCGTTCCAATTAATACTTATGGTAAAATGCATTATCAAATTAAAGATGGTCATAAATGTACATGTTCCAAGTAAATACTTATGGTAAAATGCATTATTAAATTAAAGAGAACTTATGGTAAAATACATTATCAAATTAAAGATGGTCATAAATGTACATGTTCCAAGTGAATACTTATGGTAAAATACATTATTAAATTAAAGATAGTCATAAATGGACATGTATAATGATTGTTGTGACATGTCATTAACAGTCGATAGTCTTTTTCCGTATGGACTCTTAAATGAGCTTTAATGCTCTTTATAATAAAGAAAGTTTGAGAGTTCGCAACAAGTTTGAGTCACACGCGAGACGCCAGTTGGCTCGACTCGAGCCTTGGACTTGGACTTTGGTCCTTGGCAATTGGACTTCTGGCGACATTGGACCGTTTAGGCCAGTGTTTGACTTGGTGATGGGCTAGGGTACGGGGCTTAGTCCTGATAATTTTTTTGATCCCCAAGTTAAAATTCAACCTGAGTTTGGTTTGGATTCAGGATTTGACATAACTTATGTGAGACCTCTCCAGGTGCATTGAACCTGGACGTGGATGTGTCGACTCCACCTGTGGAATAGTTGTTTGTTAACACCTAAAAACAACATGTTTAGAGCATGCTTGGATACAAAATTTCTCAAAAAAATCCAAATATTTTTAACTCAACCACTTTTTTTAACTCAACCCACTATCTTCAATATTATCAATATAATTAAATAATATCAATCAATCATTTTTACACACCACCTTACCTTAATTCATTATTCATCCACTCACATAATTTTAATTAACCATCACTTCAAATCTTCTCTCTCTTACTTTACATCAAATCAACTTTAATTATTTTATTTTAAATATTATTCTAATATACCCACTAACAACTAACCATACTAACTTTTTCAAAATTAACCAAACCAAAAAAAAAAATCCAAACAAAATCAAAATTTTTTATATCCAATCATCCTCTTAACACCTGGTTTTTTTTTTCCATTAACAACAACCATTATTGGGCTGTTAACTGCCTTGAAGACTAGAGGTCATCCCCTATTGGTTAGAAGTTCTATAAATAGGACATGGTATAGAGCTGCAGAAATATTTATGACATCATCTGATCATCTACATACTTCAAAGCCTCACACATCATATTACAATCAATTGCTCAATTCTCAGCTATGTTCTAGTTCGCTGGAGCTCCGGAGTCTGGTGTGGTAGAGCTTAAATTTGGGGACGACACGTCAGAACCTGTCAGTATTACATGGGGTCTTGCAGAAATAGATATTCTCGCCTTTTCTATGCTCTTCCCGTTTTCAGTGCTATTGTAATTTTTCTATTTTTTAGTTCAAGTTGTAAGAACTGAACCATACACTTCAGTTCGTATTTGTAACAATCGCTAGACGAATGTCTACCTACTGAACTTATGGTAGATGGTTCCAACACTCAGAAAGATCAAAAACTACAACCGAACAACAATGTTGTTCCTCATCATCATCTCGTACCTATTGTCCATGTCCCTACTGCTGAAAAACCCGAGAAATTCAACGGGTTTGACTTCAAGAGGTGCCAGTAGAAGATGCAATTTTACCAAACAACTTTGGATTTGGTGAAGTACTTGCAGGACGACCCTCGGGTTGCTGAAAATGAGACGAATAGTGAATTACGCACTGTGTACTATGCTTGGGGCAAGGTGATTACGTTTCCTTAAACTATGTCCTGAACGAATTAATTACAAGTTGTACAATGTGTACAGCTCAATTGGTTATGCCTGGTTATGCCAAAGAACTTTGGCTGCTATGGTCTAATTAGTCATCAATTTATTATATAATACGAAAAACAACGTAAATACACGTACATTCAAGCAATAGAGCGTAGCTCGGGACTGCCTTTGACAATTGCAAGACGACGTTGTTTACAAGCGAGTGTTCATTCGAACGTGTAGTGGCTAGTGGCTGTTAAGCCACTCAAGTAGCTTGCTACGTAGTGTCTATCTGCCAAGTAGTCGATTGATGTGGTGCAGCTTCAATGGTAGTAGCATTAGCTATGCATGGGGGATAGCGGGATAGCTAATAATAAACTAGACCTCTTAGTGAGCTCCAAGAATGAGCTCCAATCCCGACAACAGACGATTGGAGATTAAGAGGTAATGCTTTAATCAATCGGCTAATAGGACAACTTACCTGGTTAATAGAACATAAAACATCAAACATCGAACCTCTAATTACACAACTGCCATCATCCCCGGCTTTATATTTCAGGACTCCTAGCTGCATGTCGAGCTCATGAACCCAATTACCCAAATAACAGAATTTCAACAACTAAACTTGTAGAATACATTGGCTATTTAACACAGAAGAATACATTATCTGTGTCCCCAAGGATAANACCAAACTGTCATCAATATTAAGGGGATTGCTGTATGTTCAAAAAACAAACACTTTGACCTTAACCAAAAAAAAAAAAATTATAAAAAAATATCCCCTTACCAAAAGAAAAAAAAAATACTATAACAGGAAACAACTAACAGAAAAACAAAACAAAACAAAAGAAGGAAATGCAAGAAAATCATATACATAGAAACACAGGACAAACTCCCCCCAGTCAGTCACAGATATGCACTGATCATAACCATGAAACCAAAAGATCAAAATAAGATAAAAAATAAAATAAAATAAAATCATCTGGGCCCAGACAGCTCATCGGGCCTGATGTTATAAGTGGAGTCGGCAATAATCCAGTCAGTGTTGGGCTGATGCGGGCTGTTGAACTCCTGGCGAAAAACCTCCTCTCTCTGCCACTCATCCCACCTCTCGGCCAGCCCATCTCCTTCGAGCATGCGCACAACTTCCGACATTTTGGGCCGTTCGGTTGGATTTCCCTGCGTGCAAAGTAGGGCTACTTGGATCAACTGCTCAACTTCCTCGTCTATGTAGTTGCCTTTAAGATCAGCATCCACTAGCATTTCCAGCTTCTTATCCTTCAGAAGTCCCTTCACCTGAAATAAGTTGAAAAGGAACAAGAAAAAGAATTTGTATCAAAATCGAAGAGGTTGTTAGGTAATGCTGAAATCATAGGTTCCATGAAAAAACCATAGATTTTCAAACTCACAGAAGAGAACCTTTGCGGTTTAAATTTGCATTTATGAGGTAAAATGGTGATATTTTTATGAATGCAATGGAGAATTTTTACGGGTTAACTCTCAGGGGTGTTTCGTATTTATTCTAATAGTTTCGGCTCGAGTTGACCGTATTAAGAAATGGTTAATTAAAATCAACCAACAAACCTTTCATCCTTAGAAAATACAGAAAAGATCCCCCTAAAACCTGTTTCAGTTTCAAGGAAGTTGCATCTCAAATAAGAGCATACTCATAGGCCTCGTTTACTTAAAATGATGGAATTGGACAGTTTCATCCCATCAACTTTACATGTCAGCTTGTGTCCAATGTTTACAAAACATATAATGCATTTTATGGCAAAAACAATCAAGCAAACACTAACCTGGATAAAATGACAGGATAAAAAGCAAAATATGAGGTAAAAGTGTGGGACCCACAAGACAATTTTATATGGCCTAAATCTCTAATTTGGTGGACTTCTTAGGGTAAAAGGAACATTTCACCTGTCAATTTTTGCACCAAAATGGTCATTTCTAAGGTGGGATTAAATTGTCCCACCCAAAATAATCCGGCAAGACAGGATAAAAGTGTGGCACCCTCATGACACATCAGCTTATTACCCAATCTCATCATGGTTAGAAAACGTCGGATAACAAAACTAATCCAACCATATCCTATATATCCTATCCTATCAGCTTAAGTAAACGAGGCCAATAATACATAAAAGGAACTCGAAGAAGGATTATTTCCTCTCTTTTTAACTTTTCAATCATTTTCCAACACAATTTCGTCCTTTCGTAAATTATACAAAAAACTCGGCTCCCAAAAACAGAAAAAGCTTACCCAGTCCAGCAACATGACATCATCGTCATTCGCAAGCCGTGCTAAGTCGAAAGCCCTCTGCCCTGTGATGAGCTCGAGAAGCATAACCCCATACCCAAAAACATCTGTCTTCTCCGAAGATTTACCAGTCGAGAGGTATTCGGGGGCAATGTGGCCGATTGTGCCCCTCACAGCAGTGGTCACGTGAGTGTCCTTATAGTCCATTAGCTTCGCCAGCCCAAAGTCACCAACGACAGCTTCAAAATCCTCGTCAAGCAATATGTTGGCCGCTTTCACGTCTCTGTGGATGATTTTCGGATCACAGTGGTCGTGAAGATAACTCAGCCCGCGTGCGGACCCCAAAGCAATCCTTTTTCTCACATGCCAGTCGAGCGGCGGCTGTGTTTCGGGGCGTTCTGTGCAAAAGGGGTCAATTTGCAAATTATAAAAAAAAAAAAAATTGTGGGCTCCAAATCTACTAAAATTATACTCTTCAGCCTTTTTCTCTAAACAGCATAAGAAGTAATCCCACAGCTTCTTGACCTCATATACTAGATTCATGCTCCTCGACTTTTTTAATAAATTTGAAATAGAGAAATGAGAGAAATTTGGGGTTGTTTTGGAATATACTAAAAAATCAAGCTACCTTTGGAGATTACACATTTCACCATGATGGATTATATCTGTTGTACATTTTTTGCACTGGCAGTTAGACATCATCAAATCCAGTCAATTTATGTTCTTCAGGTTTCCAAACACACTACATAACAAATGAACCGCAGCTTCTTGTCTTAAAAATTTCATTTTACACCATCAAGCTTTTCTAAATTATTGCAAACAGCCCGATGGAAGAAATATGGGGTTATGTGTAATTCTATGAAGAATTGAGAAAAATTCAATGACATCAGCAAATCCAGTGTTTTTGGGCACAAATATGCTAAGCAAACCAAATTCACAAGGAGTTTCTATTTTCAAAGATTCAAAGTTAGTGAGGCAATTCTTTGTAATAAATAGTTAAATACCAAGAAAAAAAAATAAGAAAATTATCCAGNAGTGAGGCAATTCTTTGTAATAAATAGTTAAATACCAAGAAAAAAAAAATAAGAAAATTATCCAGCAAGCACATGGTAAACAGAACAGAACAGAGAAAAAAAAAGACAAAAGGGCTCTCCTAAAAACTACCTCTCAAGCATGAGGCAACACTCCCATTGGCCATATAAGGATAAACGAGCAGGCGCTCGGTTGGAGTCATGCAAAAGCCGCGCAACCTAAGCAGATTCCGGTGAACGGCCATACTTATCATCTCTACCTCTGTCTGGAACTGTAGCTCCCCACCCTGAGTTCGTTCCTCTTTGAGCCTTTTAACTGCCACAAGAGTCCCGTCTGCCAGTCGGCCCTTATAAACCTTCCCAAATCCACCCCTCCCGAGAATGTTACGGTTGCTGAAGTTGTCAGTCGCCACTTGGAGCTCACGTAAGGAGAATCTCTTGAGCTGGCCTAGGTGGACTTCTGGATCCTCCTCAGCTGCATTCAAGAAAATAATTATTTAGAAGGGAAATAAATTTAATGTACAAAAATTAAGAAAAAAAATTATAATAATAGTGAAATTTTACTAACCAGGAACATCAAAGAAATGATCTTGTGGCTTTTTTCTTCTGTACCAGGCAAGTGCTATGGCGGGAGCGGCAAATAGAAGGGCTGCACCGGCTGCAACTCCTCCGGCAATTGCTCCAGTTGCACTGTCTGCAGTTGTCGCAATTCATCATCAGCTATATTATTAAACTCATGTAAAATATTGAATTCCTAAAATGCCATTCACATAGAGAATGGCCTCACGATCGTTTGAATTTCATTGAAAAATGCATTTTCTAGGTTCCTTATAGAATGTGGAAGGAAGAAAATAACAGATAAGGCAGATATGGCCGACAAACCTTGAGAAGGTGATGGAGATGTCGGTGGTAATGGAGGAGGTGGAGATGCAGGCAGAGGCTCCAAGTTATTATTGGCAAAACTGAAACATAAAAAAGGATTATTAACTGGTGACAACACTACAAGACAAATGACAAGAGTTTAGACTACTGAAAAATACAAAGTTGTGCACTAAACCTTATAGGCGTGAAAAGCTGAAAGGACCCATTGACTGGAATTCTTCCAGTGAGATGGTTATTTGAGAGATCACTGGATTTTGTGAAGCAAAGAGTGTGAATAAGTTTGAGAAATGTCCAACAGGAAAATAAAGAATAAAAAAAAATGCCACATCTAAAAAAAGGGGAAAAAAATAAATAAAGAAATAGTTTCCATTTACTTACAGGACTTGGAGTGTCATGACATTAGTCAGGGATACAGGGATTTCTCCAGTCAAACTGTTGTTGTTCAGTCTCCTATGTGTTTGAAGGATGAACACGTGTCTGGTAAGATAATTACTGACGAAAGGAAGTTTCAATGCATGGATGTTTATTTTATGGAATACCAAAGGTTTTTCTTCTAATATCAGTTGAAATCAACGAGCCACTTTCTATGCATATGCAGTAAATACACAACACTATTTTACTGGCAAGAGATTATTGTAACAAAAAGTTTGCATAACTCGAGATAGAAAAGAATAACTATGCCTGAAATATAGTTTTCCCTAATGTGAAGCCCAGACTCGTACTTAATGATAGCAGCATAAAAGGATATTTTCTTTCCACCTTTCTCATCCTATACTTACATCAAAAGTACACAAAAAGTTCCAAAGAACAGGCCCGACATTCATGGAAAACCTTACATTAATCATATATAAGTGTTGATATATAACAACAATGACTCAATGAGCCACTTAGTTAGGGATGTACGAAATCTGGCTACTTAGTTAGGGATGTACGAAATCTGGCTAAGGAAGCAGCTAAGGAATCTTTTAGAAAAGATATTATGGCATAACTATGAAATAAAGAGAAGCCCATACAAGAAACGTAGTCTCTGAAGCCTGCTCAACGTGCCGGGGATTGGACCACTTAAGTTATTGAGATAAAGATCCAAGCTCACCAAGTTTGTTAAGTTTCCAAGCTCAGGTGGAATTCTTCCACCTATATTGTTACTGTAAAGTTCCCTGCATTTTTAACAGAGAAGATGTTCAAAGAAAAAAAAAAAGTTGAATCCACATCCCTAACATGAAATATCAAAGTGAGGAAATAATTCATTTACATATATTAGAAAGGAAAAAAAAAAGCAGTATTGAAGCTAAGCCACGAACTCCGAAGCAGCATGTAAGTAGTGAACAGAAACACCTAAGAGACTGGAAACAAATATAAGGCGAGTTTCAATCAGCAAAATTATAACTTACAGGTACTGTAAATTTTGGAGTAGACCCAGCTGTGAAACCAGTGTACCCGACAAATTCGCATTCCCTAGATCACTGAACATGGACAAACGTAAGAAATAATCCCTAATCCGGTATCTTGTTTTTTAATGGAAATAATGTCATTTGTTTTAGAGAGAGAGAGATCATCAGGCTTACACTCGTGTAACACTATTTTCGCCATTGCACGTGACGTGAAACCAAGTGCATGGATTGACAAGAGTCGGGTCCCAACTCTGAAGAACATTGTTAGGATCTGCCAAGTTGTTTCTCAATGCATTCAACGCGTCACCTGCCTCAAATAAGCATTTTGTTTTTTTTTTTTTTCTTTTAAACTAAATATGGTATGGCTCAATATAAGCATGTATGCATGGTTTAATTTGAAGATCCCACGGTTAAGCTACAAATAGAGAGCACGACTCACGACATTATTAATAATAACCTCAAATTTCTGTAAACATCCTTTCAAAATGTATACAACACAGTTGAACTTCACTAAACAAGTAAAAGGAGAAGAACAACAGTCAAATATTATGTAAAATGGACCGCTATAGTAATTACCAGCGATCTGCCATTCTGCAAATTAAAAGAGACACATGTTCTCCATCAAATCCCCCAAACAGAAATAGTTCTTTAGATAGAATAACCTCTGCAAACTCATACTGAATCAAATTTCCCTTACAGTCGAACTAAATACAGGCGAACGTGCATGAAATTCTTTAATTGAGAGGGAAAAAGTAAACCAGAGGCCAAAAACCACAAATAAAAGCCTTTTTTTTTCAGAAAGCTATGATGTAATAACAACAAAGTAAAAGGACTGACCTTCAACGTTGCCAGAAACCCGCGAAAATCCAGCCAAGACCAGCACAAAGCAGCACAAGATCGTGCCAATTAAACGATTCATTAAATACTTTGACTTTGACCCCAAAGCTTCACCACCTAAAATACCTAATTCCATCATTAACAACTACACTAAATCTCAACTCTCATCATCATTACCAACACACATTCAACCATACGATGTAGCTATCAACACACAGTAGACAAAAAAGTAACCCAAGAAAACAAAAGGGGAAAAAAAGACCAATCTTTAAAATCAATTTATGCGGACATACAGGAGCTGGGCTGAGCTAAACCACCGAGAAGAAGCAAGAATTGTACCCAGAACTCGAAAAACTAGGATAAAATAAAACAGCAGCAACAGAAAAAGCAAACAAATTAATTGATTTGAAGTTAGAATTGATTCCTGTAGAATGCGAGCAACTGAGAAAAGACAGGGAAAGGGGTTGTCTTTTCGAGTTTTTTTCCTCAATTTGTTGGCAGAATGGCAACTTTTCTGTGCAATAAATTGCGGGTCAGAGTAACTCAAAGGTCCATTAAAGAGAAAACAGGAGCTTTGAAGTCTGCACTCTGCAGAGATGGAGAGAGAAGATGGATTTGATACCTCTCGGTCAAAGGTTCTCTCTTTCAGCGCCTCCCACCACTTGCATTAGTATTCTGTAGTTTAAATTAAATATTTGTTCGAGAGAAGAAGACGAAGAAAAGAGCCAGAAAATTAAAAAAGGAAAAGGGAAAAAGAAGAAACTTATTGAATTACGAATTTAACAGCTTTTTCAGCATGCTGTAATCCTGTTTTAGGAATTACTATATGATTTTTTTTTTAAACTCCCTTTCTTATATGATCCCTTCTCTCTCTCTCTCTCTCTCTCTCTCTCTCTATATATATATATATATATGGTCTGGTTCAGATAAAAACTAGTCCTGGTGTGAGAACCGCGAGAACCATTTTTGATGCTATTTTTACTTGTGTATGATGCTATATTTATTATCACATGGTGCTATCATTTTCATAAATGTTAATATAAATTGCTATTTTTAATAAAATATATCCTGATTAAAAATAACACTAAACCATAATCAATCATAGCATTTCATATAATTAAAAATAACGGTTCTCACAGTTCTCACGCTAGGACTTGTTTCTCATTTGAACCACATCTCATTTGAAAAATGCTACAAGTACATAATAAATGTATATAGAGGTGTACATAACACTCACAAGGAGTGAGGTTCACTTGATTTTTTATTTTTGGTAGGACTCACTTAATATGAGTGTTTTGTACACCTCTATGTACAGTATTATGTACCTATAACATTTTTCTTTATATATTGATGGCAAATCATTTAATAATATCTATCTACTAAAACTTATATAGCTTTCCTGTAAAAAAACCTTTTTTTTTCTTTCTGAAACGATAAAAATTTTATAAAAACTAAAACCACATAATTACAGCTAGAATAGCCGAGCAGCCAAACAACTGAATCCAGGAGGCCTACTAGAAGTAGGCTAGAAGCAACTAGGCTAACTCACCCACATGGCCATAATAAACTAAACAACTACCGCTCCCAACGGAAGAAAAATAAAAGCTCCCAACAAGAAAATACACAAAGAAAACACAACCTACACACAAACACAACAACCAACACCTAAAATAAAAAGAGGAAATTACACCCCCCACTAATATATCTCATTTTAATATCAACTTTGAACCACTTATATTTTTATTTATAAAAATACCTAAATGACAAACAAATATTTCAATTGTACCTAAAAGATTACAAGAACCGTTATCAAATTTTTTAAATGCTAATGAGAGATTGTAGGGGAATTAAAGATACACTTACCAAAAAATGAGGAACAAATAAGCAAGCACGTCTCCTACCTTTTTGCTTTTCCCAATCTCCTTCACTCTGCAACGTCTCCTACCTTTTTCTTTTCACAATCTCCTTCAATGGCCAAAACTAAAATCCCTCGGCCTCATCGAAAAATTCCGACAGATGATGCCGACGACCCACCTCATCTAAGATCCAGTGATCGTCTCCGTAAAATCCACCAAAAAAATCAACCAAAACTTGTTCAAAAAAAACTAATTTTCGAAAGAGGTATAAACCCTAATCCTAGTCGCAAGTCTTCCGACAAGAGTAGAATGCAAAAATCTACTTCATCTCCCGGCTCAGACGACTTCCAGTCGGACCCAAATCCGCCGAAAAATAATCGCCGAACCCGTAAATCGAAGAAGACTAAACCCACCGAAATTTTTTTGGGCGAAGAAGACCCTCATTCCGAGTATGACAGTCAAACTGAAGAAAATGGGAGTGAAGAAGATTTGGCCGAAGAAGATTCCCCGCTTGAAACGTTGAAGGAAAAAATAAAGAAACGGCCCAGAAAAGCCCAAAAAGAAGAGAAATTATCGAAGAAGAGAAGAATGCATAACACCGACATCCACAGGGCCCCTCGACATGTTCAAAAAAGGATTTTGTATAAGGTAATTTATATGATGAATTTAAGAATTTTTGTGATTCGGTGTTCAATTTATTCATTTTCATTTTTATTGTTTGTGGTCCACACACAACGGCTGGAATTTTTGTTGAGTGTTACAGGTAGATTTTGTCTTTGGCAGATTATTTCTTATGTATATAGTCAAATGTTAATGGTCCACACCACTCTATTTCACTCGTGCATCATATGTTTTTAAGTTGCTTTATGCTTTACAATCACACAGTGGCTGGATTTGACTTCAATATTTTTATCTGATCTTTTCTGTCACCTTGTATGCTAACTGACACGGTTTTTTTGGTTTGGATTATATTCGGTTATGGTCATTATATTAGATATACGGTCAATGAATCAACTACATTTAGTATATTGCTAGTATTTTTCAAGTATATGCGTGATATGTTTTAGTATCGTTTGAGCAGTAGTAATGGATCTATTTTCTTATAAGAGAACAACAAATTTGGTTGATATAATTGAGAAATAATATGATACATTAGAAAAGCCAAAATCTACATTACAGGTGATATACTAGATGTTTTTTTTCAGTATATTTTGTAGTACACCTTTCAAGATATGCAAGGTTTTTCCTTATATTGAACAGGACATGTTTTTGTTGAACAGGACATGTTTTTGTTGAACAGTACACCTTTTATTGAACAGGACATGTTTTTGTTGCTAACATTTTTCCTTATAATATATATATTTTTTCCTTGTGTATTTTTTACAGGAATGGGAATTGCTCATTCCGCATCCGTTGGATATTAATGTGAAAGTTCAAAACAGCAATGACAATACCAGAGATGGATCCACGATATTTGATATCAAGAAGACGCTTACGACCGAGCAATTGGAACTTTTTAGGCGTTCAGCATTCGGGAAGTTCTTGGATCTCCCTCACTGCATCGTACAGAACCAGCTCATTAACAGCATACTCCTACGTGAGGTTCACCAGAACAGGAGCGACGAAATCTGGTTTGATTTTGGAGGGAAGTTACTCCGGTTTTGGATTGAGGAGTTTGCTATTATAACAGGATTGAACTGCATTGGCTCGATAAAAAAATTGAATATTCCCAAGATATCCGGTGGTCTCCATGACAAGTATTTTGATGGCATCGAATTACGCCGGAACCACATCAGGTGGCAGTTTATCAAGAAATCATGGTCGTGTGATGAAGATGCAGTGAAATTGGCCAAATTACATCTACTGGCGAATTTCCTGATGGGCTCTCAAGAGATTCTTCGCATAGAACGATGTTACGTTGACCTAATTGATAGTGCGGAGTGCGATGATCTCGCTTGGGGAAGAGAAGTGTTTGATTTTACTCTTTTGTATCTGAAGAAATCAATTCAGACGAGAGAGCAAATGCACATATTCAAGACTGATAGATCTAACCTGTATAGGTGTTATGGTCTTATATTGGCTCTCCAGGCATGGTTCTATGAGGTGTGCGACACCGCCGAAGGTGTGGTATGCACGTACGTTGGTGGAAATGATATTCCAAGGTTGAACAAGTGGGAAGTTCGGGGTACTTATAGCCGTATTTTTATGGAAAGGACCTTCTTAAATCTAAAACACTCCAAGGTAATATCTTATATTATCTTCTTTTTCTATTTCGGTATCGATTACTTTTTAAATCGTATTTTTGTAATCAAGTAGGGAAGTTCGGGGTACTTATAACCGTAATTTTTTTTTTTTTGCACAGTTCAACAACATTGTTCCCACTGAGGCGGAGAAACAGGCTCTTTCCGTGGACTCATTCTTCAAGAAAAAAAACGAGTTCATTCGAAATGAAACCCCTTCAAGTCCCACAACAGAGCATACCAATCATGCCAATGACGTTGACGTTATAAACCGTCTCGACTCAATAACTGCTGAACTCGACAAATTGAAACAAGCCTTCTTCGAATTCTCGACACGTGTTTTTGCCGAGTTTGACTTGTTTAAAGAAAAATTCCTTGTAAGTCCTTGTTGATATTCATTATTTTTTTATGTTTACTGAACTTCGTATGTGTGTGTAATATATTTAGTTGTCACATAAACCACATTTATTTAAATTTATGTTTGTGATACTATTCTGGTTTTGTAAAACCTCAAAGACATTTCCATATTTGTTTGTTCTTAAGCACAGACTATGTGGTATAGATATATCCATAATTTGCATATGTAAATATATTTGTTCCTGTGGTATACATATGGCATATATTTGGTATACATATGTACTTTATATTGCACATGTATATAAGGTACAAACATATGGTATACATTTGTCCATAGTGTATATATATGGTATATATGTGGTATACATTTGTACTTTCTGCATGCACAGGTTATATATATGGTATATACAAGATAAAATTGCTGTTCTTAACCACAGATTTTTGCGTTATTTATCTATTAATTTTGCACAGGGATGCATATTTGTTTCTGTGGTTTATATGTGGTATATATGCGGTTTAATGTGTAATATAACTTTTCAGAGAGCATATATATAGGGTATATGTAGGGGTAAAATTAAGTTGTCTTTGTTTATACACTATGAACAGGTTTTTAACTTTATACAATTATATTGTTTATATATATATTTTGTTGCTGTGGTATACAATTATATTTTATATATATGAACAGGTAAAAATAATATTTTGTTGCTGTGGTATACATATATTTCTTGGGGTAATATTGCAACTGGCACAGGGTATATATGGTATAAACACATGGTATTAATGTGATCATGTACTATATTTACAGTATATATGTGGTATATTTATGTACTTTAAGTATTCACAAGTTATATATATGGTATATGTAAGATAAAATTGATGTTCTTAACCACATTTTTTTGTGGTATACATACTGTGATTTTGCACAGAGATACATACTTCTAACTGTGGTTTATTTATGGTATATATGGGGTATAATTTGTGAATGTAACTTTTTACTGAGTATATTTATGGTCTATATATGATAAAAGTTAGTTTTTAATGTTTATAAAAGTTATATATATGGTATATGTAAGATAAAATTGATGTTCTTAACCACAGTGTTTTGTGGTATATGATAAAACTTTTTACTGAGTATATTTATGGTCTATATATGATAAAAGTTAGTTTTTAATGTTTATAAAAGTTATATATATGGTATATGTAAGATAAAATTGATGTTCTTAACCACAGTGTTTTGTGGTATACATACTGTGATTTTGCACAGAGATACATATTTCTTACTGTGGTTTATTTATGGTATACATGC